AAATTATGTTTGATGAATCATGAATTCAAATATAATAAAACGTTTTCTTGCACCTTTTTTAAGATGAAAGGCTGATCTTCAGGAGGATATAAAATACACATAATAATGCAGCTCAGTATTCTTTAAGTCATTTTCAAATGTTTGCTTTTAACACAAGAAATGTAAGTACCTTAATTTGATTTGATTTAGCCTTTTGCTGTCTCTGCACATCAGATCTCAGGCTGTGGGAGGGAGAAGCAGCACAAGTAGCCAATCAATAGGATTAGGAGAGTGCTGACAGGGGAAGAGAGTAGAGTGACAGAAAGACAAGCTCATTCAGTTTCTGCTTTCTCTTTCACTGTCCAGTCACTACTTTTCTACAGTAGAGAAAAATCAGGTCTGCTGCCCTGCTAGACAGGGCGATGCTGTGTGACAAAACTGTGTAAATCGCAGAACTTGGATGGACATAAATGCAAATCCTTTGGCAGGTAAAACTTCCCATATTCTTTATATATTTCATCTGTGTATTGGCTGGAGTCCAGCTTTAAATAGGTGTATGCTGCAAACTCTACTAAATAAAAACAATTTTTTTTTTTTACGTATTTGTTTTTTTTCATTGGTTTGATCATTGATATGTAGTGTATCTCTTGCACTTAGGTAGTCCATTGAAGAGAAATCCTATAAAAATTTAGCACTCAATTTCATTTGAGTTCAGTGTGCCCGCAATAGAAAGTCATTCATGCTACCATATACAGTGATATTTATAGGAGGTTACAATACAAATTACAGTCCAGTAGACTATATATTCCTGATTACCCAGCTTTCTTAAATCAGTCCTCTAGTCACTTGCACACCTGGGGCCTCTAACGCAGTGTAGTTGTCATTTATGCTATCCGTAGCACTAGATTGATGACAGTCATTCGCTGATGAAGCTGTATACATCATTTCTGTCCGGGCTGCACTGGCCAGATGGACCCTGACCATCCATCCTCTGTCAGGGACACATCTGTTCTAGCTGCTGCTAGGGTACTAACAAGTCATTGGCTTTCCAAAGGGACGATATATGAACAGGATTAGATACAATGTAACAATTCAGGTCCTGAAATAAGGATATAAAAACCTGATGGCAAATCACTCATATTTAAAGATGCCCTTCAAATGCTGATAAACATGTACATCTAAAAAAAAAAAAAATAAATATGGTGGTTATCAAATGAGATGTTTCTATTCTTCATGTATATGAGTGTCTTATACAAGTAAATAAACTATTGATTGCCAGAGTATGACCACATGTTCACTAATTTTCTTTTAAATTGTTTTTGGTCTCTTTTTTGTTTTCTTTATCTTATTTTTTAATTCCATGAGTTTACACCCCTAATTTATGACTATTCTTTATTGCAATTTTTTTGTTCTGCTGTATTGGATTACTGTTTATTTTTGCTTTTTGTTCTAAATGTCTTAGTTGTTGCTATTCTTGGTGTATCTCAATCACTTATAAAAATATTGATTTCCAGTCTTGAGTCTCAGAACGAAACTGTGATTATAGTATACTAGTGCACATCCATGTTTGCTAAGCAGTACAGTCCCATGGGACATTGTCTAAAGCCAATAAATAACTGAAATACTCTTCAAATACAAAGAATGCTCCAATTATAGAATGTGTCACTGATATCACCAATTAGAAAAACAGGTCTCCAGTAGGTAGCAACAACAAAAAAGGCTGTTGGTTATTGATCTGATGTCCATTTATTGTTTACTAAGTTACTGTAATTATTTTTTGAATTTCCAAATGTTCAAACATTGGCTCAGTCTATGCTTAGCTTGCAGGTGCAAAATCCTAAGTCTAAAATACTATGCTGTATTTTTTTATTGAGTATCCATTATAACTTATTATTGCTGTGTTAACTAAAAGATACATTTTTACATAGTTTCAACATTTTTTACTTTCTTTCAAATTTATGATCTTTATTATTTTCAATTACAGATTTGTGGCCATTGGTATAACACTGAATGTGATTAACATTGAAGATACAGGTATAAGTGAATGTATATCATTGAATGTTATTAGCATCTCTGCTTATGTACTGTCAAGCTAAGCTCCACTAGCTACTCAGATGCCACTTTATTAAGTGTTCCTGCATGGCAAGACCACTTACTGTTATCTCACATATATATTCTTATTATTATAGCCAAATTTACCACCCTAACTCCTCCCACAGTTTTTACACTACATACACAGTAATATACCAAAACGTGCGGATTGTTCCTGATTGGTGTGCTATTACTTTGTGAAACGTTTCGCCGAATGGTTCACGAAATATCTGCGTTTTTGTGCTGAAATTTGTCCCATAGGAATGAATGGCGGAATGTTCAAAACTAGAGTGGGAGCTGAACACAAGAACACTTCACTCAATTTCCCCAGAAATTGTAGCTTTTCTAGTTAAAGAAAATGCATTCTCTTTCTTTCTTTCTTTTTTTTTTTCTTTCTTAGCTCCCTCAAATCCAGAAAGTGCCTGATATGGATTTTGAGGGGGAACCCACAATTTTTTTTTTTATTAAAGGGATAACATACATTGCTTAAAAATATGCACTGAGCTTTTATGAATGATAGACATGAGGTCCCTCCCAATATTATTATTTATTATTATACAGTATTTATATAGCACCAAAAAGTTTGCTCAGCTAGACCCTCATACAGGCAAGCAGCCTGGCTGGCCAGAAACAATAAAGGGATAGAAAGCATGCCATCCCCATCCTCTCATTCCTGCTGAACCATACTGAACCACATTTCCTTTACATTAGGAGGGTACCTTGTGGAGGAGAAGGGAAAACGTCCCGCTGACTCACCAACACTATGACCCCTTCAGAGAAGATCCTCTCCCACCGATACTACTGACACAAATGACAGCTCCTTGTCTTTTTTGGAATGTCAACAAACAAGCAGGGGATCCCAGGTGGCGGTGTATTACAAATTTAACAGCTTTTAATATCATACAAAGAAAACTGTATAAAATGTGAGGAATGAATAAAAGGGTGGGAAGTAAATTAGCAATAGTTCTTAAAGATATGTGTGTATGCAAAGTTTACGGAAAATTAATGACATTTATATATTAGATATTTGTATTTTACTGGATTGAATTATTTTTTTTATACTAATGAACTGTGCACAGTTCAAAACAACAATTAAATACATCTAACAATTTATTTTATACAAATATTGCTAGCAAGAAAAAACTGGGCATACTATTACATCTCACTCTTGACTATACTGTATGTGACTTTCAATGTACAGTATAGTCCAGCAAGCTCACAATATAGGGCTTTGTCTTTTCTCTTTTGATCTGTTGCTATTTAGGTCTCCATATTCATAATGTCATTTAACCACTTGCGCTCCTGAGGATTTACCCCCCTTCCTTACAGGCCATTTTTTGCTGTTCAGCACTGAGCTATTTCCACTGGTAATTGCGCGGTCCTGCAATGCTGTACCCAAACAAAATGTATGTCCTTTTGCTTGCATAAATAGAGCTTTATTTTGGTGGTATTTGATCACCTCTGCAGTTTTTACTTTTTGCGCTATAGACAAAAAAAAAGACCAAAAATTTTGAAAAAAAGTATATTTTTCACTTTTGGTTATAAATATATCCAATAAACTTAAAGTTAGTCATACATTTAGGCTAAAATGTATTCTGCTACATGTCTGGTAGAAAAAAAACTCAATATATGTATATTATTTGGTTTGTGTGAAAGTCTACAAACTATGGCTTTTACTTTCTGACTGCCTATCGCATTTCTTGAGGTGCTAAAATGCCAGGGCAGTACAAACCCACCTCCAAATGACCCTTTTTTGGAAGCTAGACACCCCAAGGATTTTGCAGAGAGGCATGTTGTGTCCATGGAACATTTTATTTTTTGGCACACATTTTTTGAATATGACAATTTTTTTTTTTCACAAAGTCGTCACTTTAATGATATATTCCTCATGCATGCCATGGGTATATGTGGAATAACACACCAAAACACATTCTTTTACTTCTCCCGAGTATGGGGATACCACATGTGAGAGACTTTTTGGCAGCCTAGCTACATGCAAGCCCCCAAAATCCAGTGACCACCGCCAGGCTTTCAAAGGGCATATTTTGTCATATCACTTCCCACTACCTATCACAGTTTCGGAGAATCTAAAATGCCAGGATAGTACAAACACCCCAGCCCCCCCCCCCCCAAATGACCCCTTTTTGAAAAGTAGACACCCAAAGGAATTTGATAAGAGGCATGGTGAGTATTTTACAAATATCATTTTTGTCACTTGGTTTTGAAAAAGAAAAAAAGAAACGAAAAAAATAATTTTTTGGTTTTCTTTCTTCATTTTCCAAAAACATGTGGCAACAAAATTAGATCTGCAAAACACTCAACATGCCTCTTAGCAAATACTTTGTACTTTGTGTCTACTTTCCAAAAAGGGGTCATTTGGAGGGGTTGCTTCTACTATCCTGGCATTTCAGGGCCAACATTAGAAGCTTATGCCACACATCACCCACTCTTGAAGACCAAGCCTTTTCTGACACTTTTTGTTCACATGAAAAAAGTTTTTTTTGCAAGAAAATTACTTTGAAACCCCAAATATTATATTTGTTTTAACGCAGAGGCCCTAGAGAATAAAACGGTGGGAGTTGACATTTTTTACATCACACAGTATTTGCGAAGCGATTTTTCAAACGCAAATCTTTTGGGAAAAATACACTTTTTAGAATTTTAATGCACAAAAACGCAATATATCGCCCAATTGTTTGCTAAAATATAAAAGATGATGTTACGCTGAGTGAAATAGATACCAAACATGACATGCTTTAAAATTGTGCATGCCCGTGTAATGGCAACAAAGTACATACATTTTTATTATAGATAGGCGACGCTTTAAAAGTCTTTACAGGTCACCAATTTACATTTCCACAGGAGGTCTAGTACTAGAATTACTGCCCTCAATCTGATGTTTGCGACGATACCTCACATGAATGGTGCAACCAGGGGCCCGGGGTCAGTAGGGGGCCCCATGAGATGCTCCTGGTACCTTTTTCATAGGCTTTTTTGAGTTTGGGCAAGGACACAGGGGCCCTATGATCCCCTATATTGCCCCGGGGGCCCATGAGTTGTCACTCCGCCCCTGGGTGCAACCACTGTTTACATACCGACACATGGTCAACGCTTGCGTGCACAGGGGGGCAAGGGTGCTTTTTTTTTTTTTTAGTAATTTTTTTTTATTATTTTTACACTGCCCCTTTCATTTTTTTTTTTTTTTTTTGCTCTCACATGGAATGCAAATATCCCCTATAACTTCAATGGGCATTGTCATATATTCCTTTTTGAGAAATCTGGGGTCTATCAGACTCTAGATATCTCCTCAGCCCTTACATTATCTAATCTCACCAAGATCAATGTGATCAGATGCTTTCCCAATTTACAAATGGCGCTTTTTATATCCTGTGAAACTGAAGTGATGAAATGCTTGTAGCTTCCGATTTCTTAGACTATAGAGCTGATTGGAGCCATTCTGGTCTCTGACCAGCTCTATGGTCAGCCAGCAGGACTGCATTTTCAGATTCCCCTGTGGGACAGGAGAGCCCAAGAAAACTGTGGAAGGCAGCAGGAGGAAGGGGGGGGGGGATGTCCCTTCCCTCTGCTCATAAAAACAAGCTGCAGTCATCATCCCGGTATAACCACTCAAAGTCTAGCAACATACCAGTACATTACTGGTCCATGTTGGGCATATATGTAACAGCAAAGAACATGGGCATACGATGAATTGGCTCTGTGGATCAACATGACCGCAATTCATTCTGTTCTGTAATACCCATGTTAATGGTTAGGCCCAACAGAGTTTTAAATTCAGAAACCGTGCTAGGTTTAAAAGCGAATTGTCTGGCAAAAGCTGAATTTGGGTGGGCGGCCATGTATTATTGTGCATATAAATAGTCTTGACCCACAATCAATTGATACAAATCTTCCATCAAAAATAGCGGTGGGGCTAAACGCTAGTGCTGGCAGCGAATGGGGCCAATCCTGCTAACTCTGCATTTTTGTGGACACTATACAAAGGAGACACTAGTATAGTTCTGTTCATTATCAATATATTAATCCATACAAACACTATACTAGTAATCGCGGTGATCAGCGACCTATAGCTTGAGTGTGATAGTGTGCGGGCAATCTAACGCTAGCTGACCCTGGCTGGGAGGGACGCTTACTGACCCTGATGCTATCTGATGTCGCTAGTGGCAGGAATACAGTGATCAGTGAAAAATTCTATATACTGACACTGTACTAATGGCGGGGTGATCAAAGGGTTAATAGGGGTGATCAAAGGGTTAAATGTGCTAATCTAATGCAAGCGTGTAAAATGTAGTGGTGCTTTTACTCTGTGCTGTGTTCTCTGTTCTCTCCCTGGACCGACGGGTGAGAGGGCATTTGGGGGCACAGGTGCGTTCAAACCCCAAAATAGGAAGTGACGCACGATTTTGTTGCTTTGACAAGAGCTGCTGCTCACCTGCAAAATGTGGGTAAGCGGTTGGCAAGTAGTGAAAAAAAAAACACTTAGATTTTTTTTTTTTAATTCTCAATATGGTATTTTTTTTTTACATTATTATTTATATTATTATTTAAATACTTTTACAAGAATAGCAAAATGTTACCATAGTAACATTGTACTACTGTGTGTGTGTGAGGGGGGGTGATCAGGGATTTTTTTTTTTTACACTTTGCTTTGCAGAAGACATAAAGATAATTTCTCCTGCAATGCAAAGCTTGCTGTCAGAACCTAACTCATTCATGAACTGTCATGAGTGAGTTAAGTTTTGACAGCTCAGCATAGTGATCTGTGATTGGTTGGAGCTGGTCACATGGTACAGGGTGCTGTGATTGGCCCCCATGTATCATGTGACAGCTGTGGGCCAATCACAGTTCACTAGGAAGAGAAGCAGAGCTGTTATGAATGAGATTGATTGCTTAAATAGTGATCATGTGATTGCATAGCGATCACATGATCTCCGGGTCCCGTCCATTGGGATCTTCATTCTGCTGTGTCCACAGCAGTCACGGGGGGGGGGGGGCACGCATCGTCCCCTTGTGTTAGTACAGCCAGAGCGACATACGTAACTTTGCCTGTAGCTGCTGCCCGGCGTATTTTAGTTGATTAAAATCTGCAGTACATTTTATTCAACTAAAATCTAATAAGTTTAGTTAAATTGTAATGCATTATTTAAACATTGATCTAAAATTTTCAAACTCGTTATAAACTCCTGGAGGAAAAAAAAAAGCTAACATATTACTATTTATGGTATTCAAGTTTAAACAGACTACACAGACACAGATTTAGCTGTTATATAACATCTTAACATCTTTATAGGTAAAAGGTCCCTCTCTCACATTTGTGTTCTTTTTTTCTCCACTGCCACTGATGAAAATTATGGCAAAAATATTTTCATTGACAAAATGAACAATGTTCCACACATCATTTTGGTGTGCTTTTGGTAAGTGTGTGGAAGGGAAAGCAACACACTTGTGAGGGACAATGTTCAGCATAGGGTCAGGTTCTGCACAAGGGGGGATAGCTAAAGGAAGTTTCCTTTTCACAGAAAGTGTTCATAGTTACATAGTTAGTCTGGCTGAAAAAAGACAAAAGTCCATCCAGTTCAACCATTAAAAAAAAAAAAGTTATAATCCTATGCGCACAGTTGATCCAGAGGAAGACAAAAAACCCAGCAAGCATGATCCAATTTGCTCCTGCAGGGAAAAAAATACCTTCCTGATCCCCCGAGAGGCAATCGGATATTCCCTGGATCATCTTTACCTATAAATGTTAGTATCCAGTTATATTCTGGGAAGCGTGCAGAGGCAAGGAGCGGGTTTAAACTACTGATACAGCTAACCCTAAGTTCACACCTAAGCGTTTTCTGCAGCGTTTTGCGTTCTGAAGAAACACAGTACAGTCCAGGGGCGGACTGACCATTTGGAAACTCGGGCACTGCCCAAGGGCCCAGGGTCAGTAGGGGGCCCCATGAGATGCCCCTGGTACCTTTTTCATATGCTTTTTTGAGTTTGGGCAAGGACACAGGGGCCCCATAATCCCCTATTGCCCGGGGGCCCCATGAGTTGTCAGTCCACCCCTGGTACAGTCCATTTAACATGGGACATGTTCACATCTGTACGTTTTCACTCGGTGCACTTTTTGGAAAGGGTCAGGGACTTTTTTTAACACAAAAACTTGCGTTTTTGATTCTATAAACTTCAATGGAAACACTGCAGAAAAGCATGTATTGCATTTTTTATGCATTATTATGCGTTTTGTGTGTTAAATCTGCCTACAACAAGAAAAACTTAAAAAATTAAAAAGAAAAACCACAGCAAAACGCATAAAAATGCAGCAAAAATGCAAGTGCAAAAACGCAAAATGCAACGCAAAACGCAATGCATAAACGGCTGAAACATAACCTGCATAGGCGTGAAGCTAACCTAAAGCCTATGCAAGAGGGACACTACCCCTGTAATGGAAGATGCCTGGTAAAACCTACTGTGATAGATTGAGAATTGCATATGCTGGTGTCTATATCAGCCTTTCTCAACCAGGGTGCCCAGGCACCCTGGGGTGCCTTAAGGTTTCTTCAGGGGTGCCTTTGCAAAATGTCAAAAAATTGCCCAAAACTTGCATACAAGCCAGCAGGTGGAACAAGCCTGCCTTTTAGTTACACAAAGCCACAGGTTTTCATAGTGCACCCTTACAACCTTCTAGCCCATGGGTATCAAACTGGCGGCCCTCCATGCCTCTACCTTGGGAGTCATGCTTGTAACTGTCAATCTTGCAATGCCTCATGGGACTTGTAGTTTGGCAACAGCTGGAGGTCTGCCAGTTTGACACCCGTGTTCTGGCCCCCGGTGTCCTGACAGCCAATAACACATCAGTTTGATAAGGAGGATGTCAGCTGCATGCACAGCTGACAAGTTTGACCCTCCCCTGCAACTCTCCATCAGTGCTGGGGTCACGTTAGCTCAGTGATGGATAAAAACTGAGGGAGAAGAGAAACATTGATATACTAGTCAGTACCAGTGTGCAGAAGTGTATTTGCTTTGGAAGAATTCACCTCTAATGTTGGGTGTCCTACATGTGTGGATGTTGCTGCGTTATATAAAACTATTCAAATAGTTTTTCACATTTTAAAAAGGGGTGCCTCAAGACTGTCCATAATTTTAAAGGGTGCCTCAGGACTGTCCATAATTTTAAAGGGTGCCTCAAGACTGTCCATAATTTTAAAAGGGTGCCTTTACTGGAGAAAGGTTGGGAAACACTGATCTATATTGTTGATGTACTGTACCAGATTTACAATATATAAAGCATCCATTCTCAATTAATTGTTTGCGAGTGCTCTCTCCCAATACAGGGGGCCTAACTTAGACTCCACCTACAAGGGGCCAAAATGTCCAGGGTAAAACAGTTCTATAGCATAAGAGACTCTTTTAGAACCAACAACTGGATGCACAAAAAAAGAAAATAGGGGTCTGGTCATTAAATATTCCTGACAAAAAATGGTTTCCCTATATAACAAGTTTCTCTTAAAAAATATATATATATTTTGTAATATTAAAAAGTAAAATGTTACCTATTATATATTTATGCAATGTTTTATTAATATAAATAATTGTTTTATTGTCATGAAAACACAAAATTCTTTGCAGAGGCCTTCGTCCTAATGCAGCTAACAATAAAAGACATAAATCTCACGTTCAATGCCTCTGTTAAGATTATCGTCAGGAAATAACAGATTGTTATTTAAGTGTTTCCTCTCTTCTCAGCAAAAGTGCAACAAAATTCCCAGGCTGACTGGGAGTGAGTCCAAGCCTTAATAAAGTCATGTTATGTGGATACAATACCGCTTTATGTCTAAATAGCCTAGTGTTAATGTTATGCTAATGAGCTTAAATATGGCTGTGGCTTATTGGTATATAATTAGCTTTGTCGAAATGGAATTATATAGGAGGACTAGTAGATGGGACACGTTTTATCACCCGCTTCTATATGTCCATTTGTTTAACCCCATCTCTGCTGGATACCCCTGTAATAATTGCATCTTTTTTATTATTTTACAGTTGAGCAGAGGAATACACAAGTGGCATATATACATATATACATCTCCTAACAGACAAATCATATACACAAAGTATACAAAAGTCTGGCTGTTAGGAAAAATCCAATAATCATGCCTGCGGTACAGAAAAGCAAACAGGTTAAAAATCAGCAATTTGTTGAGTGTCTACCTTCCATTCTTCTCAGTTTTTTCATGTTTTAGTAAACTAGTTTTGGGTAGAGGGACAAGATTAGTAATAAGGGGAGGGAGAGTGAAGGAAAGGGGACCTAGGGTGGTAGGGACTTTAAGAAGATATGCAATGAAGGGGAAAAAAAAAGAAAAGGGGGAGAGTGGGGATTATGGAAAGTGGCCACCAACTTCTCCCGGGACAGCTCCAGGATGTATACTCCAGCCTGGGGAGCACTCAGTCCCTTGAAATGGTGTAGTTATTGTACAGACACAGTCCCTTCTGTGTCCCCTGAAGTTTGGGATGCTGCATCTTTGCAGAGAAACTAGGGTGTCCATGTATGGAAGAATTTCTCTTCCTTATTATTCTCATGGTCATAGTTAGATAATCCATGAGTTGGATCACATCGATTCTAGCATGCCATTGCTGCTTACTGGGTGGATCAGATTGCTTCCATAGCACAGGTATATATGGCTTAGATGCTGTCAAAGGGTGTCTGAAAAAGGAGTTTTGCATTTTTTATATGATATGGGTGGGTCATGAAGTACATATACTAAGGGCTTGTTATCGAAAAAAAAAAAGCCTATCAGAGGATCTACTTGTTGTTTAACTGTATTCCAGAAATCCTGTAGTCAAGGACAGTCCCAGAAGATATGGAGAAGTGATTCCTCAAAAAATGCTATGCAGAGCCATACAAAGCACTGTGCTGGAGCTGACAGGGAGAGAACTGTATTGTTTACATACAGTTCTCTCACCCCCTTGGTAATACTCGGTGATCATTGGGTGCTGGCGAGTAATCATCGGCCGGAACCCAGTGATTTACAGCCAAGGCCGCGAATAGCAGCACGGGTAGGGCGCGTACATGGCTCACGCACGCCCCCTACCCAGTATTGCAAAATCACGTGTATATACGTGATTTTGCACACCCCTGCCGCCATGTAGCAGTATTTCTGCTATAGGGCGGCGGCGGGAAAGTAGTTAAAGCGGTTATAAACCCTCACATGTACCAAGTGAAGTGACTGGCCTCAGGTGATACACAGAGATGAAACATATCCACTTTCATAAGTTTTACCTGTTTATCTGCAGTCTTCTCTTCTCTACATCCATTTAAGTCCAACACTTACAAAGCTTGTCTGAGCGGTCAAAAAAGGGAGTGGAAAGCAGAAATCACTGAGGCTCTGAGAGCTGATCGAAGCGACAAGACACCCCCCCCCCCCCACCACACACACACACATACACACCACACAGAAACAGAGATGAGGCTGTCAATCTGCTGGAGGTCTTTCTCCAGTCAGGGAAACTTGTCAGAAGTGATTCATGCTGATAGCAGAGGAATGAGGCAGCAAACAGAAATGACATTTAGTGCTCTAGATTGAGACAAATAAACATCAGAGAAGGATATGCTTTGTTCAAATTTTAACTTAAAGTTGATCCTTGGTATAATTTATATATATATATGATCCTGGGTATAATTTATATATTACAACATATAACAACCCGGCTACTTCCCAACTCCTCCACTTAACCTCTTCTTTCGCACTCACACAGTGCACACAGTCCTCCACCCACACCAATGGGAATATCCTGGACCTCGTTATCTCCCATCTCTGCACCCTCCACAACCTCACAAACACCCCTTTCCCTCTCTCTGACCACAACCTCATTACGTTCTCCATCTCCCCATCCTATAACACCTCCCCCCCAAACATCAAACCATCACCAGCCGGCATCAGAGACTCCGCTGTCTTCTTGCTCTCGTCCTACCTATCAGAAACGCTCCTTCAGCGCTACCTATAACGCTACCACCTCCCCCTCTCTCCCCCTCTCTGTTTGGGTCCCCCAAGGCTCTGTCCTCGGGCCCCTTCTCTTCTCCATCTACACCTCCTCCCTTGGCAAACTGATACACTCTCAACTATCACCTCTACGCTGATGACACACAAATTTACCTCTCCACACCTCGCCTCACCCCCTTCAGTCTCCGCCCGTATCACCCACACTACTGAACGACATATCAGACTGGATGTCGCTCCATTTCCTCAAATTGAACCTTTCCAAAACCGAGCTCCTGATTTTTCCCCCAGCCCGTGCCCCCCCCCTCTCCATCACGACCAACAATGCCACCATCAGTCCCACCCCACAAGCCAAAGTCCTAGGTGTCACTCTAGACTCAAACCTGTCCTTCCAACCCCATGTCCAATCATTGGCAAACTCATGCAGGCTCCACCTCCGCAATATCTCCAAGATACCTACGTTCCTAACCCCAGACACTACTAAACAACTCGTTCACTCCCTTATTATCTCACGTCTGGACTACTGCAACTCCCTTCTCACCGGCCTACCTCATCGCAGACTATCCCCGCTTCAGTCTATCCTGAACTCAGCAGCCAGACTCATCCACCTTACCAACCACTCCGCTTCTGCCACCCCCCTCTGTCATTCCCTCCACTGGCTCCCGATTGCCCAACGCATTAAATTCAAACTACTAACACAGACATACAAAGCCATTCATAATGCTGCCCCAAACTACCTCAGCGACCTGATACCCAAATACCACCCTACCCGTAATCTTCACTCCTCACAAAACCTCCCACTATCTAGGTCCCTGGTCTCCACCTCCCACGCCTGACTGCAGGACTTCTCCAGGACTTCCCCCATCCTCTGGAACATACTACCCTAATCCATCAGACTGTCACCTACCCTCCTCACCTTTAGGTGCACCCTGAAAACCCATCTCTTCAGGGAAGCCTACCCCGCCCTCACCTAACAGACGATCTCCTCCACTCCTCCTACCACTCCATCCCCCACAGCCACTTCCTCCTGTACCACTAACCCCTCCCTCCTA